GAGTGTGGTGAGTGTCTGTGTGAAAAAGTGCAGATGGGGATATGAGATAGATGAAGAGAGAATGAGGGTCACCGTGTTATTTGTTAATGCATCAGCCAGATGTTGTGCTCCTTTGTCTCCGATTTGATTGTCTCCGAGATCTAGTGTGGTGAGTGTCTGTGTGAAAAAGTGCAGATGGGGATATGAGATAGATGAAGAGAGAATGAGGGTCACCGTGTTATTTGTTAATGAAGATGAGAGTATGAATGAATTTTTTTTCTTACTGTGTTGGTATGTGATATTACTATGTGGTAGGTAGCCCCCTCTATATTGTGCTTTATCTGATTGGTCGTCGATTGTCACAAAGAACACGTAGAAAACATGGAAAAGGGGCATTGTTTTAAGAAGTATATAAGAACGGTGTCGAGTGCGGGCGGAGTGGGTGGGTTTATTAGCAAAATTGAGGATTGAAGTATGGTAACTGAAAAATGATGGATGTTGCCGTGTATGAGGATGTTGTTTATGTTTCTTTTGTTACATTGTATGTTGTTTATGATGATAAAAAGAATATGCTAATGATATAAAATATGACAGCTCATGCTTATCAATAAAAGATAGTGCATTAACTGTTTACTATGCTTTACGACTGGATTCAAACTATTCATGATTCCATTCTGATAATGAAGTATATGAGATTAAAATGTCTTCAAAGTATTTTTTGTCAAGAGATACATAACATAAGTTTCTTACCGTATTATTTCGCAATGCTTTAGCAAGCATCACAGCACCTTCAGCTGTAATTTTGTTCCAGGATAAATTAAGGTCCGTGCATTGTTGTTGTACGATTGCTTCCTTGATTACACGTTGAATATCGGCATCGGTTATATTTTTTGATTCATAGGAGACCTTCACTGGTTGTACGGGAGGTTTGGGTTTAGGAGCTGGCTTTGGCACCACTGCTGCTGCTACTGGCTTGGTAATAACGGTAGCTGCCTCAGTGGTGGTGATCATTGAAGGTTTTGATGATGCAACGGGAGCTATGTGTGGAAATTTTGGTACGATTTCCTTCAGTTGAATCATGCTAAATTTATTTCCCATGTCAGCCGATGAAACGACTTCGAATTCACTACCAGGAAGAAGAAGTATTTCTTCTTCATTTGGATAGAACGAATGCTGACTAATGTTCTTTCCTGTGTCGCATTCAATACTAAATAATGTTCTTGTACCACTCTTGCCAAAAAAGTCATCGTTTTCAAGAACTTCAACAGTCGTTGTGCACGAAGAAAATCCCCACCAAACAATTCGCGCACCTTTTTTATAGTGTTCTCGTAGATCTAACTTGACTCCTCGATAGATGGTTCGACGACCAGTCGGTGAAAGTTTCGACAGAGCAGTTAGAAAAAGCCTTAAAAACTTGAGCCATGGAGGCAGTAATGCTTCTCGCTTTGAATTTCGTAGCGTGTCATTAAGGATAATATAAAATGAGTTCTTTCGTGGGGACCATTCCATTGAGTACAATGCAATGGACGAAGACTCGTCAGCGCTTAATCCATTTTCTGGTTGAATATTATTTCCTTGGATAGTATCTACCATATGTTCGATTTCGGGAACATGTGGTATAAGAGGTTGTGTTGCTTCTTCGAACGATACGAGTGGCATAGTCTCGTAGCCTCTGAGGGGAGGTAATCTTCGTATAGGTTCTCCGGCTACGTCGGAGAAACGATAGGCACCATTTGACCCCTCCGCCATTGTGATTATGAAATCTACATATCAATATAAAGAAATCCTATTATGTTTTTCTGCAAAGATCTCCGTTTACATAAATAACAGTATCAAACTCTTATCATTGATTTACTATAAATTTGTCTTTTCTAAAACTGAATTTATGAAAATATCTTTTGATGCATTATATCTATACTTTAAATTGAATTTCTAATTTAAATACATATTATTCCAATACTCTTTCAATAGAATTCTTTAGTAACTATTACCGCCAATGTTTGCTGTTATTTAGAATGGGATAAAATACACTTCGATTATATTTGATTTTCATTCAATATTTCATATATGAATTGAATGTTTTCTATTTATTGTATTTATTTTTGAGAAACATACACCTAATCCTTGTTTTAGGATGGGTGCTTGTGTTATTCTGAGAAGAAAGTTTTTTTTTCTTACCGTCAATTCACACGCAGAAAACAAAATAATAAAATGTTGTGTGTCGCACTCACACACTTTTCTTATCGAAGAAACGAACAATAGTTTGTTGCTTGTTCTTAAAACAACAAGACGTTTCTATTTGTTCAAGGTCATTACAGTGATACTGCTGAAAAAAAAACCAGCGAAGGAGTAAGCGAGAGAGAATACCTTCAAATCACATCAGCACACTCTTATCGCTGTAGCAATAAGAAATACTTTAGTTGTGCAACTTCAAGATGTTGACATTAGGCAAAGAAATATTGTTGTCAGATGACAGCCTTGTAGGTGGGAGAGCTCGCTTGCTTCACTTTATCGTCTCATGACGCTCTTGCCACTTGCTGACTATTTCTCAAGTGATTCATCGTGCATTGTTGTTGTTGGTGATAGTGACGACCAAGAATTCTCATGAAGCACAGCGAGATAACATTCGTAAGTTAACACATGATGAAGCAGAATTTCAAGCGAGCATTATTACTCATAAAAAAAAACCATGTCGAATTGAGTATTTCTTCAGATCCTTGTGAATGTTGTCTTTTGTTTGTTGAGCATAGATAAATGGTTATTGGAATATACTTGAATTCGCAAGTACACAGTAATAAGATCAACAGAAAAATGCTAATTATATTTTATTGAAATCTTTCTCGATAACGTTTTCGAATATCTATTCAGTTTCAGCAAATTTCTCACATGATGATTTCTTTTACAACATTACTTTATATGATAATGAAGGATCTAAGAATCAATACATACGAGCAATTAAAATGACAAATTTCATGTGTCTCAAATATAACAACTTCATTAAGAAACATAAACTCTCATGATAAAGGCTATGATGGACAAGAATACGGTTAGGAACATCATTTGAGAAAGATGATCATTTGACAATTGTTTTTGTAGAATCATAGAGTTTGTTTGATGTCAAAGATTCATATTATATAGCAAGGTTAAACAGTTCTACAATAATTGTTATTAATTTGAATCTTAATTCGACTTTTTGTGCAATGATATAAACTTAAATTTTAAGAAATATATGGTAAAAAATTCAATAAAGATGTATTTAACTAATATAAAACAATTCTTTTATTCAAAACATATTGTTTTTAAAGGCACTTCTTTCTCTTATTTTTACAAATGAAAAGAAATCTTTATCAACTTTAATTTTTGGTTGATATATCTTAATCAAATGTTGAATACGTCATTCCTCGATAAGAGTAACGATTGAATTTTCTTCACAAAATAGATATATATATCACACATATTAAAAAAAGAAATACTGGATTGATGTATCAAAACCGAACGACAGTTTGTAATATAACGACAAGAGTTATTTATTTGAAGTGAATCAAATTCAAACATTCGTATACGTGTTGAATTAAAATCAGAGAAATTTATTTTCTCTAATAAATAAATACATCAAATCATTTTCCATTCATATTTAAATAATCTTAAAGAACTTTTTCTTCATATTTCATATATTCGTTATAATGTAGAATGTATTTTTCATAAGAATTAAAACAAGTGATGGTGGTAGATCACATGAATATTTTTTTTTTCTTCTATCAAATAATAGAAAGATAGAACACGAACAAATACTCATGTCTGCATTATTCAAGCATCAAAAATTTTTCTTTTAATGTTTTTTTCGTTCTTTCACTTTTTTAATATTTGTCATGCAATCAAGAAATTTTTTCCAACATTACCAAGAAAGAGATGCTTTCAACATTTAATAGAATTAATATAAATATACATGCTATGGCAATGGAATTAAAATATGTCTGAAAAGAATTGCTTGTAAACAAAATTTAAAAGAAACTAATTAAGAATCATATACATCTATTTTGATGATATTAAAAATGACTTTTAATCATTGAATAATAGCAAGATCTTTTGATCATATAACAAAAGAAAACGATTTTTTCAAATAGTAGACTCACAAAAACATTAATTGAGATTTTATCAAAAATCAATCAAGCATAATTTTTGTAGAATAATTTGACAATAGCTGTTTAAGAATGGTAAACTAGTTTTAAGATGAGTAATTTTATTAAAATATGCTAAATTTAAATTACATATAACTTATATACAAGTGAATTGATTAATATTTGGCAATATTTTTTTTTTTTATTAAATGTATGGGACAAAATAAAGAAGTTCTTTGAAAATAATATTGGAAATAATTGATAGGCATCATTGGATTTTTGTTTTATTTTTCTATAAATAACTACATAATTATTGCACGATATAAAAAATGAAAAAAAGAATATTGAATTTTTTCTAGCAATTTCTATCAAATAATTTAAAAATTATTTGTATATGATTAACATTCAAATCTGTTGAATATTTATTGTGATTATTTTATGTAATCTATCGTTTAAAATACATGAATTTTCCACTAGTTCAATCGAAAAAGTATAAACAAGAATTTTGTAATAAAAACAACTAGAATGAAGTTAATTGGCATCAAAATATTTTAATTATCTTTTTTTTTTTTTTTCATTGAAATATGCTTTATTCTACCAGTATTTGGTATGGACATTATTACATGATCCCTAAAATTCATATTTCACGTTTAAATTTAATGGAGTATAGCACGTAACAATCATAATATGAAAGAAAAGAAAAAAATATTACCTTAAACTCAAAATGCAATTCATGTTGAAAAGATTTTTCGAACAATATAGAATATTAATAACAACACATGAGAATTTATTTTTTTCAATTCATAAATCAATGTACCAATTAATTCGAATTTCATCTTTGACTGCTTCATTATTTTCATATGCTTTTCTATCAATATCACCTAGTCTAGCTCCCATAGCTGCATAAAATCGACAAGCAGATACATTTGTATTTTGTGTTTCAATACTCATACATGTTGTTAATCCTTGTTGTTTACTCCATTGAATAGCATGTTTTAACAAAGCCCGTCCAATTCCTGAACGTCGATATGAAGGTGCAACACGTAAATCCCATAATGCACATTCAGGCATAGCTACAAGAGCTCCACCTATAGGTTTATCATTTTGAGTTTCATCAAGAGCAAGAAAGATTCCCCAGTCAGTTGTATTTATATGATGTAAGAAGAGGTCGTTCAATAAGTGCGATTTGTTCTTTGCTATCAATGACTTCATAAATAGAATGAACTTCAAAAGATATTGGTATGTGATCAAATTCAGAAAGACGTGAATTGTCAACTTGTACTATGCGAAATGTCATCAAATCTCTATAATAAAGACAAGTAACCTATATAATACAATTTACATATAGAAAAATGACATCACATTTTATTTGGTCAGACAACTTACTCAATGTAGTCATAAATACTCGTCTGATATTTAGTTGGTTTTTTGTATGATCCAATGAAAAAACAAATATCATATAAGTCATCAAGAAATTAAATAAAACCATATTTAGTTTGTTCTGCATGTAATTTCTTCCTGTTAGTTTCGATTTCGACAATGATGAAATTTATTGAAACAAAATTGTCTATGAAAAATATGTTCGTAAACTTTTGATTAATATGTACAAGCTCAGCAAATACTCTGCAAAATAATGACAACTAATTCAGTGATTAATTCCACATCTTTATGCTTTCATTCAATTGAAATTTAAAAATAATGAAGTAAAAGATTATCTGAATATGTATATCATATTGATCATCTATAAACAGTAATTATCGTTATTTAAATAATAACAAATAACAACAATGAACATGTCAAAAATATAGATATATCACAACTATCAGAATAAATCAATGAAGAAAATATATCACATCTTTATAATCTGACTAGAATCAATCTGAGAGCAACAAGTTCATAAAGTTTCGAAGAAGAAAAAAAAATACATCATTTCAATGATCTTGTGTATATGTTAATTATATCAATTGATTGAGTTTGAAAGCAAGAGTTTGTGCATTCATACGCATATCAGAATCTGTTATCCAACATGCATCAATTAATGAACATAGTTCATGAATAATCTATACAAAATACAAATAGTTCAATTATATCAAGTATTATGTAAAACAAAACAAAAAAAAAACAGAACACTAACTAGAGAATGTTGATTGTCTTGTATTTGTCGAACAAGAGTAGGTCGTAATCGACGAACAACAACAATATCATATATTTCAGTTGCAAAAGAAGATCTATTAGAACTATTTGTTCTATATTCTTCATATGGTGGACGATATACTACATATAGAGAAAAAAAAACAAAAAAACTTTGAATTATTTATCTTATATTGTGAATTTTACCTGTTGTTGGATAAACATCACATTGTGTTATGATTTCCCACATAACTAATGCTAATGCATACATATCTACACTACATAAAGCTTCACGTGTATGTGAAATAACACCTTCAAGTAATTCAGGTGCCATATAACGTATAGTACCAATTTGTACAAAATCTTTTTCAGTCAATATCTGAGGAAGAGTAAGAGCAACACCAAAATCTGTCAAATATAAATTTAATTCATTTTTATCAATGAGTATATTCGATGATTTTATATCACGATGAACAATTGTCATATGTGTACTATTTCGTCCCATATGTAAATAAGATATTGCTGAAGCAAGTGAACGAAGAAATACTAAACATTGATTAATGGATAATTTTCGATTGGCTGTAAGTAAATATGATTGAAGTGTACCATTTTCATAAAAGGGCAATACAAGATATAAATGTGAACTATATTGACCTTCAGATAGAATCCTAAAAGAAATTCATTAATAATAAAAGTAGATCAAAGAACATAGATTGATAAGATATCATTTCTTTCTTGGGGGAGAAAAAGAAGAAGAATGTTATGTAACTCGAATAAGTATGAATGAATGTCAATAGGAATACAGACATATGTTCTTGCTTATAGACTTTAATTTATTCCAAACTCAAGTAAGTCATGTATTCTTTTGTTTTTCTTTTGCAAACATACTAATCAATAGAATATGTGTGTTGTCTTGTAGAAATGTGTCAAATAAAATCTTTTCTTTCCAAAAAGAAAAAAATATCTATACGAGAAAATTTATTTTTTCAGAATCTTACATACTTAATGATTGATTCGTGTTTAATAGATTTTAGTAGTGAAACTTCATTTTTCCATATTAATATATTCATTTGTTTATAAACTTTAAGAGCAACAATATCATGATCGGAAATAGCTTTATAAACAATACTATTTTTGCCTATATTGATTTCTTGTATTGGAAAAAATAATTTTTCTATTGAAGATGATAATGATTTATTATCTTGATTTTCATATTTATTTCTTAATAATTTCCATAAACTAAATGTAAATATAATTAATATAATAATCATTATTAAAATAAATATTATTAAAAGTAATTTCCATGAATAATGATTTTGATGTATCATAACTAAATTTTCAATTTTTGTTGTACGATTTATTACAATTGAACGATATGTTGTTGTTAATATACTTTGCCAATGAAGTGTACAATTATCTGACGAACAACAACATGAAAATGATTGAGGATTTTGTGAATCAATATCAAGTATACATTGTTTAGATGTTAAACATTGTTCATCACTATATATAACACCTAATTGTATAACAGATATATTTCCTGAATAATTATAATAAACACCGAGACATGCATCTCGTTTTTCTGATATGTGACGAAATTGACAATTTCTATGACAATCTTCTATAAAATCTTGTTGATCAAGATTTTTTTTATGTGATCGATAAATAGGGCAGACAAGCGCATAGAATATATTGATTAGATTAACAAAAACAAGAAAATCTATATTTTAATTAATTAAAATTAAAAAACAAAGAATCTTTTCAAAACTTACTCAATATAAGTTGCATTAGTTGATGAGAATTTTTTTTTGTATATAAATGTATCGAAAAAGTTTTAATCCTAGATGTCGTTAGATGAAAAACAAAAGCCTATTATCTACATATTAAATTAATTAAATATTAAAAAAATCAATAATTCAGTAAAGATGAAAACAAAAATTATTTTTTTTTCTTCTATTGATTGTAAAATTTTGCAAAACAAAATGTCGGTAAAATACTGATAGGTTTGTTTATTTATTTATTAATTTTCTTTGTGCTTTTTGTTCTATAAACTGCTTATCTTCTTTTATCGGTTTGTTTATCTTAATGCGTGCGTCTTTAAGCAAATCGGATAATGCATTGAGCAATAATAATAGTGTTATTAATTGTCGATTCAAACGTCATCATAGTATTGATGATGATTGTCCTATAATACCATCATCATCATCATCAAATGATGAAAAAAAAATTCATGTACATTTTCATCCTGATCTTATATCATCTGATCATCGTGTACCATTATTAAATACTACATCACAACAAATAACATTTCAAAAATCTTCATTTTCATCTGAACTTGTGGTAAGAAAAATGAAAAAAAAATGAAGATTTGTTTTTTCTTCTTAAAGAGAGTTGTCGAATGGTTTAATCAACTTGATGATCGACAAAGAGAAGCATTACTTCGAGAATTAATTGTAAGTTAATAATAAATATTATTAAGATAGATTTAAACTATTCAAAAGATTTTTATAAATCAGATAGAACAAAACATTTTGTGTTTTTTCTTTTAGAATTCATGTTCCGGTTCACAATGGCATCTTTTATCACTTTTGACAGCTGATAATTGGCATCGAAATTGTCCATCAGATTGTTCAGATCCATTGGCACAATTACCATTTGATATTTCTTTTTATATTCTATCGTTACTTGATCCAAGTTTGTTCGATTTTATTTATTAGAAATAAAATACACGAACATATATTGATATTCTTCTAGTATCATTAGTACGATGTTCACTTGTAAATAAACTTTGGTATTATTTATGTTCACATCCACAATTATGGTGTAAATTATCAAAACAAAAAAAATGGTCTTTTTCATCAAATCTTCTCGATCAACAACAAATTGAATCACATACAAATGAACAAGGAATACCACAAGTATGCAAGAAAAAAGACATACAGTGACGTATCCAGGATTTTTCAGTATGCTGAATCTTGAGTTTTGAGCATGGGATCCAAATGAAACTCATAGA